AAGAAGAACATTTTCCAGCTCCATCCATGTGAACATGAAGGACGTAAAGTCTCCATCTTTCTTTATGGCTGCATAGTATTCCATGGTGTACATATAGCACAGTTTGTTGATCCATTCGTGGATCGATGGGCACTTGGGCTTCTTCCATGACCTGGCAATTATGAATTGGGCTGCTGTCACTTAGATTATTGAATATCATTTCAAACTCCACATGGCCAATGTTGAGCTACTAATTTCCCACCTAAAACCTGTTTTACCCACTGTCTTCCCTATCTCAGTTCACGGCAACTCTATTCTTCTAGTTGCTTAGGCCAAGAATCTTCCAGCAATCCTTAGCTCCTTTCACTTCTTACCAGCTGTATCTCCAAGACATCCAAATCCAACTGCTTCTTATCACCTCCACTGTAACATCCTTAGTTCAAGTTCCTGGATTATCCTGAAGGTCTTCCTCTTCTTTCCTGTCCCTCCCTCTGTATACTTCTCAGATGATTTTTTTTTTTTTGCTCCCATTATCCTGTAGGAATCTCTCAAGGGGATTTTTAATAGGACAAAATGAGTGTTCTTTTAAACATCAATCAGATTGTATTATCCCCTGCTCAAAAATTCCCATTTTCTCTCCATTGTACTTTGAAGTTCTCAACCTGGGGCAACTCTCCCCCACCCCCAGAGGATTGCTGGTGATGTTTTAGACACATTTTTTCTTATCACAACTCTTATGTAGGGTGCTCCTTGCATCTAGTGGATGCTAGCCAGTAGGGGTGCTGCTAAGCACCTGCCAATGCTCAGGACAACCCCCAACAACCAGGGATCATCTGCCCAAAAATGTTAACAGTGTCAAGGTTGAGGAAACCCTGACTTGGAGAAAGAACCTATATAACAGCCCAGAAGTCTCCTTGACCTGGCACCCATTACCTCTGGACTTCGTCTTCTACTCCCTTCTACCCAGTTCACTCTACATCTGCTATATTGGCCACATTACTATCCCTCAAAGGTGCCAGACATGCTCCCACTTCAGAGTCTTTTTCCCAGGCAGTTCCCCTCGCCACTGCCTGGAATTCCCTACCTCCTTTAATCCTTTGGCCAGATTTCACCTTCTCAATGAGCCC